GAACGCACGATGAGAAGGTGGACCTGTGGAGTCTGGGCGTGCTCTGCTACGAGTTTCTGGTCGGCCGGCCGCCTTTCGAGACCAAGAGCCATGAGGAGACGTACCGCAAGATCTCTAGAGTGAGTGCAGCGCTCCAGCTTCTCCTGGAGGCCGTCCATCTGTGCACAGCCATGCACTCTCGTAATGCACACGATTGAGAATATTGAGCAGAAACTGAAACATGTAGTTGTTTGAATATCTGAGCATGCAGAAAGACAGAAAATCAATGCATTAGTTTTTGGTCCAGATCTCAAGCACATCCCAAAGACTTGCACTAAATGTAAGGTCTGTTCTGTGAAAATGATTCTGTCTCAGTTTGAGCCTCATAAATCTCGACATTGTCCTCCTGGAAAATGTCAATGTGTCGTTTTCCTACAGGGTGGTTTAAGAAATGAAAAACTCATTAATTAGGATTAGAAGAACTGTTGCTAATAAAGACCCAAACCTACTCTAACAGGGTTAGTTCATCCAAAAATCCTGTTATTCATGAAATATCCTGGTTCTTCCAAGCTTTATAATGGGAGTGAATGGGACCTGAGATAATGAAGTGCATCCGTCCATCATAGAAGTAATCCTACGACTTCAAGGGGTTAATAAAGCCCTTCTGGAGCGACGCCGTGTGTAAAATAAAATATCCGTAATAATTACTTGATTATTAGCTTTCGGTTCCATCCGCGAAACGAGTTCCGGAGCATGACGTAGGTCTGAAGCGTAGCGTGACGCGTAGCGTTTTGTTCTATTAGCGTCGGGTCAGAGGTCACTCTTTCACTTTCATTACTGGAAGCCAGTGATTATGGATATTGTTCTTACACAAATACATGGCTTGACTTCAGAAGGCCTTTATTAACCCCTGGAGCCGTATGGATTACTTTTATGATGGATGGATGAGCTTTCATGGCCTTCGAAATCAACATTCACTGCCATTATAACTGTAGGAAGAGCCAGGATGCCTTTTAATGTAACTCTGATTGTTTGGCTGATCATCATGTACACCTAGGATGGCTTGAGGGTGAGTAAATCTGGAATAATTCTCATCTTTGGGTGAACTTTAAGGATTAAAGTTAAAGGATTTATAGGTTAAAGGACCCTTTAAGGATTTGCTATAAGCTTTCATGTTTTCTTTGAGTCTTGATTCATTCGTCCTCAAACCACCTCTTTCTCTTCAGGTTGAGTTCACCTATCCAGCTCATGTGAGCGAGGGCAGCCGAGACCTGGTCAATAGACTTCTGAAGCACAACCCAATGCACCGACTTCCCATCCAGGGAGTAATGGCTCACCCGTGGGTGCTGGAGAACTCCACCAAGAAGCCAACCACTCGCACAGCCACCGACGACTGAACATGCTGGGATTCCAGTTTGGAAAACTCTTCGGCTGTGAACCAAACAGACTCTAAATTTGTCTTTGTGACTCGCTCTGTGTAACTTTATTTGTGTTGCTTTTTTATTTGTATTGTTCACATGCTACAATTTACATGTTTTTGTAAATATGTAATTAAGACACATTGTAAAATTTTAACCATTACTTGAAATAATAAATGGTTTTTAAGTAACTTTCAAGGATCTGAATATAGAACATTTAATGTATTTTTCTGTGTTTGGGAATAAAGGGCTTTTAAGCTAATACATTTGTTGAATGGCTTATCTTAAAGGTCTGTTTATATTTATTACTTGTATCAATCTCTGATGATCGGGTTTATTGCTCTCAGATATTGCCATGTTATTGGTTAGGCCTAACTCTTAAACTTTTATTGATGGCCAGGTCCATATCTAAGGAAAATCCTGACATGATCCCGTTTAATCCAAAACTGTTGCGAGAACAGAAGGAATGAAAGGAGCGCGTGTTTATTTTGTTCCTGTCTCTTTGGCGCCTTCCCATATTCAAACTTCGCGCCTTTCAACGTGACGGTTAAAGTTTGTGTTTTCGACACGAAGGCGCGAGTTTTGAGCACGATTTTAGGGTGGATTTTTACTTTTTTCAGCGGATAACTACTCGAGTTTCTATTATTGATTACTTTTAGTGTGGTTATTTTAAGCTTTAAAGCCTAAACACCTTTTAACGGAAAACCTCATTCAGGATATTCGGTCAATCGCGCATTCCGCGTCATACGGATTTGCAACGAAAATAAGGGTGAGTAAATGAAGAGTATTATTTCCTTTCCGTTTGTTTAGTCAAACAGTTGTAAAAGTATTTTAATATGTGGCAAATGTTGTTCTGATAATGGTTAGCTGTTAAATAAGGCTCAGTTTACCGCTGTCCATTTCAGTGGTAAACCTAAATCCAGCTCAATGTTAGGTTTAAGGTTTAAAACGGTGTGTTTCACTTGTATTTGTCAGGCCACGAGTTAGAACAATAGGTAAGGCCTGTTCTTCTGATGTTCTTTGAAAAGCCTGTGTAGTTAATGTGTATTTAGACTGTATGAACGCCAGGTGGCGCTCACTCACAGTTTTCCAGAAATCGTGTTCAGTAATGAGAAAATGGCTCCTCTGGGTGAACTTCAATTCCCACAATCCAACACGAGCAACGTTTGTCAAAATTCTCTACATGCGCTCATTGCGTTTAGAAACATAATCGTTTAGAATTTCTTTTGACCTTCTGCTTACAATATGACGCTGTAATGCAGATTCTTTTTGTAGAGATATAAATCCCAAACTTAAATATTTTGTGTAGCCTGCAATCTTCCCTGTGTTTGGATGTCTTCATTTTGCTATTTTTCTCTTTTATTATACTCTTCTCACTGTCGACACCTTTTCAATGGTCGTTTTCTTTTCAGTTTTGCTTTGTTCAGACGCGCAGACACGTAAACCACATGAATGCACACGTCTCTCTATTTTTATTTATTTAAATTATTGTTAATGTAGCTTCAGGCACTGAGAAACAGATGTGTGTGTGCTCACAGGTTTACCTGATGAATCTGAGCCGCAAGCAACAATCTGTCGTGCATTTTCTGTGTGAGTTCACCTCATTCTGTCATGCGTCTGAAATGCGAATAACAAGTTGCATTTATCGTTTGCATTTCATTTTTTTAAAACACGCTGCCTTTTTAAATACTTAAATAAATCAATAAATCTCTATATGACAAAATGTAGGCTAATTCATTTATCAGCTGGAGTCTAATGTTTTTGTTTCATAGGCTAATGCTAAATTAAAGCTGCCTTTTTTCTAACCGTACTTCTCAGCCTATAAAAAAAGCTTTTTATTATATCTAAATTAGGCAAATTCCGTTATAGCCTAATCGAAAAATAGAATACTTGCAAATGCATAACCCATTCAACAACAACATGTGAAGTCCTATTAGCCTATTAAATCAAATGTGTATGCCTGTAGCCTATATCGTGTAAATGTGCTGATGTCTTTGCGCGTTTGGAATAAATCTCTGAGAGCTGGACTCAACTTATTTATTGTTTTGTATATTTATTCTTTTTTTGAAGGGGAAATATGCACGTGTTTCATTTTTTCCATATCACACAAAACCAAAAAACAATTGTACAATATAATTTCACGCGTATCTTTATTCTCCAATATATTCATTTTCACGATATATGATAACGATTTTGTGATATACATTCCATCTTTTAAACCACAAAAACACAACACATACGGTTTTATAACATTTCCACAGCACCCATTGGATTGCACAAAATGAACAAAAAAAAGTCTTATGTAAGTCCCTTTATTTCGACTTGATTTCGATCCAACGACGCTATAAATAAATCTCACTGAGGGGAACAATTATTAATTGTTTTAATTACGACATTATCTGATAAACAACGCAATGCTCAAATTCAAATTTAGTGATTTGAGTGGGTGGCTTGTTTTATATTCCACATGATTTCTTCTGAAATGTCCGTCTATTTTTCGTTTTCCCTCTTCTTTGTCTTCATCTTCAGCGTCTCGTTATTTTTTCGTTATTTCAATGTCTTGTAAAAAATACGAGTCTCTTTGTGTGTTTTCTGGTCGCTACACTAGAGAGCAATTCAAACGAAATTCTCACGTGTCAATAAAACCCTCTTTTTCTTCTGACTGACCAGAATATCTGTCATCATACGTTCAAAATGCATAGTTTAAGTACTTCTATTCACCGTCCGTTTGTTATCATCTATCTCTCTCTCTCTATTTTGGTTAAGTAAATGCAAACTGTAATAGGAAAAATAAGACTCGTCCTCAGATCGAATTCGGGAAATCCATAAATTTGTTTCACACATTAAGGTGACTCTACAAACTCTATTGTGTTTTATTGCATGACGTTGGTCCCCTGTAATTAATTTGTTTTAGTTGTTCTTAACCGTGTATTGCAGATCATTGCTTTCCGCCGCTGAATGTCACTCATATCCACGCGTGTTTTTATGGTTATGTAAAATGATTTCGATTTGGATTTCTGTGTGGAATCCAATCTGAAATAAATGCTCATGTAAACCATAAACTCACTCAACAACAAAAATAAATGTTTTGCTCTTGTGTCTATAACGCGCGTTGTTGTCCAAGGCATTGAATTGCGAATGATTGATTTCTTGTATGTTAAGGTCAGATTTTGCAGACACTTGAACCTGGTTAAATGTTTTTTTTTTCTCTCTCCCTTGTGCTTACAAATTTATTAATGGCACCTAGCATAAAAGTTTGTGTTTATACAATATATGTGTGTGTGTAATTATTTTGTATGTATAAATACACACATATGCATATATATTTGAGAAAAATTATATTTATATATTTATTTATATATAGTATATGCATGCATGTGTGTATTTATATATACAAAATAATTATACATAGTAAACACACATATATTATGTAAACATTTATTTTGGATGTGATTAATCGTTACCAATATACAAACTTTTACGTTAGATGCAATTAATCACGATTAATCGATTTGACCGCATGAGTGGCATGTTGAATGTCAGATTTGCAGTCACTTGAATGAATGAACCTGGATTAAATGGGTTTTATTTTCCATTTTTTTGGGGGTTGGGTTGGGTTGGGTTGGATGGGGGGGGGGGGGATTATTGGTTTGGTTATCAATATGTGGGATGCGTTGTAACACTTAATCACCAAACTACCATTTTCAGAAACTAATCCACCAAGTTGTATTTGTACGCCTCGACGAGCCCCTCGATGGAATGAATGAACCCAGAAATACTACATATTCCCCCGATTACAAATATAGCGACGTCGAAGAACACCTGATGCCACAAGAGCTTTCTCCACAACAGCTTGAGGTGGAAAAGACTGGGGAGGAGAAAACACAAACCGGCGCCCGTCAAACTGCCCGTCAGACCCATGAGGAGTGCGAAGTGTGGCACGTAAATAGCCATTAGCATAGTGAACACGACTAGCGCACAGCGTAGCGAAAGCCCCCACGATTTGAGCTTCCCGTCGCCTCCGTAGCAGTCCGGGAAAAACGCACGTCCTCCATCTTGGAAGAAAGACTTTTCTAGGACCTCGACGGCGGCGAAGAACGGCAACGGATACGATAGCAGCGCCTTTGACACTAAGAAGAGGTTGACGACAGCTCTGATTCCCGATGGTAAGTTATCCGTGATCACTTCTTTCGTCTCGTCAGCCCACGTCAGATAAGCCACTAGTGCGAATAAGCCTTTCAGGATACAGGCGGCGATGTGAGTCCAGTTCATCATGCAATGAAACTCGCTAGGCTTTTGCATGTTCCCCTCAAGCGATGGAAGGAAGATCTGCGAGGTGTAGCTGAACACGATGATGCCGATCGAGATTGGGAACTTCTTGACGTCGATGTAAAACTTGACCTTGTCCCACGCCCAGTCTCGCGCCCTTGACAGACAGTATGCGATGACTAGCACGTTGATGATAAAGTGCGCGATGGTGCAGAGCAAGCTGAATTTAGACACGGCTTTGAGGTTCTTGAGGAAAGCGCAAGGCAGAAGAGCGGCGGTCGCGATTATCGCCCAGGATCTCTGGGAAACGGGAAGCGTGGGAAAGCTGTTGTACATCAGGTTTCCGCTCACGACCACGTACAGAATGCAGGTCATGACGAGCTCGATGATTTGGGCTACGTTGACGATGTGGCCTCCTAGCGAGGGGAAGCGCGGCGCGCAGCAAGCGTTGGCAATATCCACATACGAGTCTCTCACTCGTACCAACTGGCCGTCTTCGTTTTCTTCGTACAGGCAAGCGATGAGGATTTTCCCTGTGTAGCAACACACGACCGCGGCGAATATAATGAGGAAGAGTCCGAGATATCCGCCGTGGAGAATGGCGTAGGGTAACCCGAGAACAAACATGCCCTGGGGAAATAAACATAGCAAGGGTTTTATATTCACATCATTCACAGTGTAATATTCACCCTGCCTCTATTCTAATCGATTCTATACACAGCGATTCTATGTGATGCGTAAAATTATACCAATATTGACCTTAGTGTCTTTGGCGCGTTACGTTCGTTATTGTAAATCACAAGAATGGATCTTTTAGAAGCTGTTTTCAGTTGATGAACATTATTTGTAGCTCCTGTCATCCGATAATCACAACAAGGTTTTATACTACCCTATCTCACGACCAATTCGTACGAGTGATTCAAAAGTGGCTAATTCGTACTAATTCATACGACCTCACTCGAATTTGTACGATTTGTCTAAACCCACGTGACGGTTATGTTTAGGGGCGGGGTCAGGGGTAGGTCATTCGTACGAATTCATACGAATTGGCTAATTCGTAAAATATGTACGATTTAGCAAAATCGTACTAATTCGTACGAGTGAGGTCCCTCGAATTAGCCACCTCGTAAAATTCGTACGAATTTCCGTGAGATCGGGTTGGTTTTATATACGATATATCGGCCGATATATGTTCAGTCTTAATGTTATCGTTATCGGCCTGATTAGAAAATTTGGCTGATTTATTACAGTCGATAAATAGTGGATTATTTCCTTCGGCCGAGACACTTCAGATGCACACTGTTCAACATGATGATGGTTTTAAATTGTTTGAAATATGATTGGATTCACTTGAAAAATGGAAAATACAGTGAAGTGCGACACATATCGGCTTCAAAAAATTACAAATGAGAACTTTATAATTGTTAAGTTCTCTTAACAAGTTCTCTTTTTAGATTTATCAGCCGATATATCGGTTTCAAATATAAAGGATTATCGGTTATCGGTATCGGCCAATTTTTTTTATATTGGTGCATATTGGTACAGTTTATGTGATGCAAAAAAATTGGCCTCAGTGTTTTCGGTGCGTGATGATCTTTACTGTATCCTTGAGTTAAAGTCAAGGATTTTGCAGGTTGAGGGAATGCGCCATCATCAGCTTCCCGATTTACTGCAGGTGTGGGAATGAGCATCGGGAGTGCAGATGAATTCAGCCCTGACATTCCCATTTGCTGTGAGCAAAGTCACGCTCACCTCATTGTGTCGTCATCAGGATGAATCAAATAGGCAGGGAGTCACGTCACGCATGCCAGTTTGGATATAACTGCGCATGATTAAATGTGTGCGGTTTTCATTTTTTTTTTAGGTTTTCAAACGCATTTTAAGTTCTTTTTAACCATCGTCGCGTGGAATAAATAATTTTGAATATGCATGTATTTTTAAGATGCACGTCATAAACCCCGCACAAACCCCCCCCAAAATAACTCATGCAAACCCCACTAATCTCCATCATGCGCGCACAAAAGCCCAGTATAGAAATGCAAGTCGAGCTGAAGGCTGTTTAATAAAGCTCTACACGACATCAGCCCAAGAAAAACCTACGTCATTGCCTCCGAAGCGATTAATGATTTTTGCATAAATATTTTGCATCCTCAAAATTTCCATATTGATTGATAGGAAAACTTTGAAATGTCAATTTTGATATGCATCGAAATGCGTCCTTACTTGGATCGCGTTGGTCACGTTCCATCCCGCTTCCCAAGCAGTGATTTTGGGCTTGTCCAGGCCGGCTAGTTCCGAGCAGATTCCCCCGTCTTTGGACGCCGAGGGCGTTGGACCCGTTCCGTCCCTCTGGTAATGACTGTCCCCGTCGAGCGTTCCCTCGCCTGCGACCTCCCCACCGCCAATCTCATCGTTTTTAAGGATGTCCATTTGAAGCCCCTGCCTGTGATCATAGTCCAGATCATCGCATGCAGCGAAACCCAAACCCTCTTCATCGGTGGCGGCCTGGAAACCCAATTTGGCGAACATCCCACTCACCTTCGCCTGAGACTTATTGGTGACCGTGGTGGCCGCGTTGGAGAGCTTATTAGAGATCTTGCTTCTAATTAACGTGGCCATGGTTGCTCTCTTAAATGAAACTGATGTTGAAATACTATTTTTTTGGTAATTCTTTACTCTAGATATATCGAGTTAAGAGTGCGACCGGAGTTCTTTGTCTGCGCATCCACGGAGAAAGAAGAGAACGGACCTCGGAGTGACGCGTATTCGTTATCTCCAGTTCTGACTGAAATCACGCCTGGTGTTTTTGCTAATTCCGTGTTTCATGTCACTTTCAGACGTAAATGATGCATCCTGCACACCTTCTCCTCTCTCTCGCTCTCTCTCTTGCGTTTTCTCTGGCCGAACTCTTACGCGTGCTTCCCAAAAGCGAGTGCGTAATTTCCAGTGCGTAAAAAGGAGAATGTTCGTGGTTTTGCGCGCGGGGTTTTCCGTTCTCCGTATCTTCGAGTCGTGTGTTTCAGTGGCCGTCACTGATGCCAATGCGGTACACGGGAGCTCGGGGGTGTTGAGAGAGAGGCACGTGTCACCGTCAGACTGCCAATGCTCTCCGGCTCCCAATGCGCGCATCAGCACGGGAAAAAAAAAATATCCAGGGTGAAGATTTGCTGCATTTCTAGGGGAGGTGCTTCTAGAACCCCATCCTCCTCTCCACTCTCATTATGCCCAATATACTTGGTCCCAACACCCAATGGCATCAGGGGTCTCATAGTGTTGCATAACTTTACGCATATAAAACCCGTCTCCACACACCGGACTAGGTCTGAAATGGTCACTAAAAGTATTCCTGAAATATTCTTGTTTCTTTTCTCGTCGATGCTCGAATTCTCCAGTTTTTTGTTATTGTTTCAGATGAAGGTCAGAAATCAGTTTGAACTCATTTTCAGCAAGAGGAGACCTTGGTGCTGGAATACTCTTTTGAACGGATTTAAAACCTTCTTTCAGTCGAAAAGGGAATGAACAAGAAATGCATCGCAGATTTGACTGAATTAGACTTGTAGTTGACTAAATAAGTTATCTCAAGTGTTTTTGTTTGTTTAAAAAAAAGTAGCATGGATATTTCTCATGGATTATTGCGCTGTTCCAGTTATTTAGTTATTCTGCATCATCTTCTCGGGACACTTTTTAAAGCGAATGAAGAGGCTTTTTTACCCTTTTGATTGAAAAGGTGTTGAGCAACAGAAAAAAAAATTGTTTGTTTTTTCCGTCATAATATGCAGCTGTTCTTTATGAAAGCGTGTTTCTGTGGATTCCAACATGATAAACCCGTTTAGGCCTGTGAACACAATAGTCGGGCTCGTTTGGATCGAATTATTCACTTAAAACATCGTGTAACATAAAATCTTCCGTTGTTTAAACTATACACGATATTAATATTTCCTGTAGGCTATTATCGATAGAACTGAATTCACATTTGATCTAAACAATAACGAGACTCGCGTTAAACAGATCAACCTTACAGGAGCTTTTCTATTTAAAAAAACGTTGGTCTGATTACAAATATATTTGAAGCAAAAATCTTAACAATTGATCATTTATATATATTCGATATTTTCAATTAAAATTTGAAAATACGCAAATAAATATTGTTAGTGTTAAAGAGTTAAGATTAAAACAAATTAGATGTGTGTGTAATTGTATAAATACGGACGTTTGCGTAAATAAAGAAACACTTGTTTTGAAAACTTGCACTTTCACGGAATCTAAATCGTTTTAGAAATATTAATTAATCTTACGTTATAGATCAAATATAATGTGATTCGGCAAGTGTGATTGAAGGCGTAACACTTTTTTTGCGCACGGGTTTGCGCTAAATCTCTAGACGCATTGCGCCTGTGCGTTATAGTTGTGTAGCTACACTATAGATGTGTATATGTTCGTGTCGCCCTGCTGTGTGGGTCATATCAGATCTGTGCTGGTCTTCCCCGGAGGGCGTCTCGTGTCCCCGGGTCCCGGTGGGAGCGGAACGGGTTAATCGGAGCGCGTTATCAGGCGCGCGCAGAGCTCGAGCGCGAACAATACAATCTCCAGCAGAACAGCGTTTCAGAGCCTTTACATCAATCCACTGACAGGAGAGCACAGCAGGACAAACACACGAATATCATTAGCTTTATAAAGTAGCCTATGTTACATTGGCTAAAATATATAGGGATATAATTATATAAAATATGTTATAGGCATGTTGTATGCTGTATACTAAAGGAATATAATTAGGCTATATACGAATATTTTATAATATATAGGGATAGTCTAAAAAATGCTGGGTTGTTTCAACCCAACTTTGGGTCATATATGGACTAACCCAGCCGTTGGGTTAATCTTAAATTACATTTTTAACCCAACGTTTTGGGTTGTGCATATTTGACCCAAAGTTGGGCTAAAACAACCAAACCTTTTTTAGATTGTACTATAGTAATATAGTTATATAAAAATATCAGGCCTATTGTTGGCTATAATTTATACAAAAGGAGTATAATTATATAAATTATTTTATAATATATAGGGATTTATTTATAAAAAAATATGTTATAGGCCTATATGTTCTAAAAAAAAAAATGTTTGGTTGTTTCAACCCAACTTTGGGTCATATATGGACCAACCCAGCCATTGGGTTAATGTTAAATCACATTTTTAAAGCAACGTTTGGGCTCGTCCATTTGATCCAAAGTTGGGAACAACCCAGCATTTTTTAGATTGTAGCTATAAGAATATAATTATATAAAAAATATGTCATTGGCCCATTGTTGGCTAGACACTTGGGTTAATTTTAAACCACATTTTTAACCCAACATTTGGATTTGTCCATATTTGACCCAAAGTTGGGTTAAAACAACCCAGCATTTTTAGATTGTACCATAGGAATATAATTATATAAAACATATGTTATAGGCCTATTGAATAATATGAACATATAACACAATTGATGCTTTTCCGTCTCTCTGAGCATCATGAAGAAGTCCGGCTGATTCGGTGATCTGATGAATCCTGTTTCCTGTGTGTTTAAAGCTCTTTTTAAAGGAAAGTCCTGTCAATCTCACACTTCTCCGGTGTGAAAACGCTTGGGATTGATTTTCCTCACCTCCACAATGACTCTCATCGCAGTCATCCCGTTCTTCGTGTGTTTCTCGCCGGTATAATTCACAGACGCTCGTAACGGTGTGTGTTCTCGGCGCAGTGATGCGATGGCACGCGCTTAAATCTCACGTCCTCGTTCAGTTCATTACCCTTCAGGAAATCATAGAGGGCAATGAGAGGTCATGGTGCTTCTCCCGAGAGCCTCTCCACACAAAACCCTGGATCTCTCCCTCGGGACACTGATCCCTTTTCCACTCGGATTCAATGTTATCTCGCCCCACAAGGTGATCTCACACACTCTTGTTGTAGAAAGCGGTGGATCCTCCCCGTTTCATTCGGCCCGGGCCTTTTCTCATTACACACTTCAGTGAGTCGAGCGAGTGTAGCGGAGCGATTCGCCTTTCTTCCTGCGCTATATATTAGAGACAGATCATTAATTATCTGCGCACTGAGAACAATAGTGCTGACCAGAAGCGACACTCGCAATGCCATCTGAAGAAATGTACACTGAGGACAAAGCTTCAAGAATGCAGGAAAAACCTTTTATGAAATGTACGTCATCTAACAAGCACAAGCATTCTGCATTATACACGAAAAATGCAGTATCAAATTCAAATCCTGTTTATTTTGTGTAATCATTTCAAAGCGATGCAAGAGTCCACATTACAATTTACAGTGATCTGTTATCAGAGGTTATCTACAAAACTGACAGTCAGCAAAACATTTATTAATTTAAACAATGTATTAATTGAAGGTAGAAACAATGGTCTCAATCCTCAATTGTTAACAGATATCTTCATTCAGTGTTCAGTAGCAGTGGAGATGCATGTTCCCGTGTGTCTGCCGGCGTTTCTGTGGCTCAGCCAGGCAGAAAATAACACATAACACACTTCAATTAGAGAGCCCAACTGAAAGGACACGTGGCTCTCCGGGGGCGCGCCGAAATTAGCCGTCGCTCGCGTCCGACGCGCTCTGAATCCATTACTATTAGCATCACAATCCCAAGCACATTATTGTGCTGATTAGCCTCTGTCAGAACAAATATGTGCTGCTTTTAGAAGTGGAGTCACTAGTAGATATAGATCCCAATACTTCACCATATATGATAGATCTGCTAATTAATGCAAAACGTTATATTTCACGCACACATGGTTTACCTGAATGGAGACATATTTTACACTTTCCGTATAGTGATGCCAGTGTGTTTCTCTGTAGTGTAAAGAACATTTTAATGATCTATAAACAACATTTTTCCTCCATAAGGGACAATAGAAAGATTCTGTTGATGTCGTGAAAACCTTCATTTTTAATTCTTTTACCATTTTCATGAAGATACTTATAACTGCTGCACTGTGAAAAGTTATAAATAAAACAAGATTAATGGAGCATGTTATTTTAATTCAAAATTTCCTGTTTACCTGCATTTCCTTTGAACATTTTATTTGTAGAATTTCTGTGCGTGAATTAATTTTTTTTTTATTTAGTGTAGTATAGACTAACAAAACCTTTAATGACAAACATTTGCTATTTTTGAATATTAGAAAACATTTCATTTATGATATATATAAAAGATGAATAAAGGGTTTTCTAATATATATTTATACAGATTAAATTTTTTCAAAAGCATTAAAAAGATTAAAAAGCAGAGACGTGTTGAGAGTCAAAGAAACAAAATAGCAAAATCACATCCCATAACTCAAATAAATCCATCCCTTTTATCCATAAACACACACACACACTAGAGTGAAATCCAGGTGGTCTTGTGGTAACCACTTAAAAGCCTTTTCATTTATCCTAATGCGTCTGTTTAATGGCCTATTATGAGATCCCGGGAGAGATGTGGGTTATATTAACCCTGCCAGTGCACAGAATGAATACTACTCACACACACACACACACACACACACACAGCCCTTCAATCAGTCGCTCTCTTTACATGTCAGATAAAAGAGCAACCCCTCTGTTTTCTGAAGTGACCTGCATATATTCATGCGCGTGTGTGTCGTTGTTGATCGCTGCTGTTTTAGTCTTTACAGCAGTGTTTCTGCGGTCCGGACTCACTCCATCACCTGGAGGATTTCTCTCTCCTCGTTCGGCCGCTGTTCCCCCCCGCCAGGACACATTAACATTGTAATTGCCTTTTAGCCCTCTCCTTTGAACACACTGTAAACTGGCCGCGCTCCTCTGGGATGGAGAGCCCGGGGCCTACACAATCAACACAGCAATCTGTTTCCATTATATGCTTCTTACAGCCTCTATAGACTGATACATAGACTGTGTGTGTGTGCGTGTAATTTCAGTCTAGATTCTATTGAAGTGGATTCAGATAAGATTTTGTGCATAAAAATGAACTGAAATATACATTTTAATCATAAAATACCATTAAAGTGAGACTGAATACGGAGCGCGCGCACGTGTGTGTGTGTGTGTGTGTGCATTGAGCGTGTTAGTCTCTCGGTTCATGAATAAATGACGAGAAACAGCTCAGTTTTCCAC